GATATACACCTGGACATCAGCAGGAGAGGACTCTTTAAAGTAGAGACACCACATACTGATATACACCTGGACATCAGCAGGAGAGGACTCTTTAAAGAAGAGACACTACATACTGATACTGTATACACCTGAACATCAGCAGGAGAGGACTCTTTAAAGTAGAGACACTACACACTGATATACACCTGAACATCAGCAGGAGAGGACTCTTTAAAGTAGAGACACTACATACTGATATACACCTGAACATCAGCAGGAGAGGACTCTTTAAAGTAGAGACACTACATACTGATATACACCTGAACATCAGCAGGAGAGGACTCTTTAAAGTAGAGACACTACATACTGATATACACCTGAACATCAGCAGGAGAGGACTCTTTAAAGTAGAGACACTACATACTGATATACACCTGAACATCAGCAGGAGAGGACTCTTTAAAGTAGAGTACACTACATACTGATATAACACCTGAACATCAGCAGGAGAGGACTCTTTAAAGTAGAGACACTACATACTGATATACACCTGAACATCAGCAGGAGAGGACTCTTTAAAGTAGAGACACTACATACTGATATACACCTAAACATCAGCAGGAGAGGACTCTTTAAAGTAGAGACCCTACATACTGATATACACCTGAACATCAGCAGGAGAGGACTCTTTAAAGTAGAGACCCTACATACTGATATACACCTGAACATCAGCAGGAGAGGACTCTCTAAAGTAGAGACACTACACACTGATATACACCTGGACATCAGCAGGAGAGGACTCTTTAAAGTAGAGACACTACACACTGATATACACCTGAACATCAGCAGGAGAGGACTCTTTAAAGTAGAGACACTACATACTGATATACACCTGGACATCAGCAGGAGAGGACTCTTTAAAGTAGAGACACTACATACTGATATACACCTGAACATCAGCAGGAGAGGACTCTTTAAAGTAGAGACACTACATACTGATATACACCTGGACATCAGCAGGAGAGGACTCTTTAAAGTAGAGACACTACACTCTGATATACACCTGAACATCAGCAGGAGAGGACACTTTAAAGTAGAGACACTACATACTGATATATACCTGAACATCAGCAGGAGAGGACTCTTTAAAGTAGAGACACTACATACTGATATACACCTGAACATCAGCAGGAGAGGATTCTTTAAAGTAGAGACACTACATACTGATATACACCTGAACATCAGCAGGAGAGGACTCTTTAAAGTAGAGACACTACATACTGATATACACCTGAACATCAGCAGGAGAGGACTCTTTAAAGTAGAGACACTACATACTGATATACACCTGAACATCAGCAGGAGAGGACTCTTTAAAGTAGAGACACTACATACTGATATACACCTGAACATCAGCAGGAGAGGACTCTTTAAAGTAGAGACACTACATACTGATATACACCTGAACATCAGCAGGAGAGGACTCTTTAAAGTAGAGACACTACATACTGATATACACCTGAACATCAGCAGGAGAGGACTCTTTAAAGTAGAGACACTACACACTGATATACACCTGAACATCAGCAGGAGAGGACTCTTTAAAGTAGAGACACTACATACTGATATATACACCTGAACATCAGCAGGAGAGGGACTCTTAAAGTAGAGACACTACATACTGATATACACCTGAATCATCAGCAGGAGAGGACTCTTTAAAGTAGAGACACTACATACTGATATACCACCTAGAACAATCAGCAGGAAGCGGACTCTTTTAAAGTAGAGAGTCACTACATAACTGATATAACACCTGACAGCATCAGCAGGAGAGGACTCTTTAAAGTAGATGACACTACATACTGATAATACACCTGAACATCAGCAGGAGAGGTACTCTTTAAAGTAGGACATCTACATACTGTATACACCTGAACATCAGCAGGAGAGGACTCTTTAAAGTAGAGACACTACATACTGATCATACACCTGAACATCAGTCAGGAGAAGGGACTCCCTCTTTAAAGTAGAGGACACTACATAGGCTGATATAGCACCCTGAACATCAGCAGGAGAGGACTCTTTAAAGTAGAGACACTACATACTGATATACACCTGAACATCAGCAGGAGAGGACTCTTTAAAGTAGAGACACTACATACTGATATACACCTGAACATCATCAGGAGAGGACTCTTTAAAGTAGAGACACTACATACTGATATACAACCTGAACATCAGCAGGAGAGGACTCTTTAAAGTAGAGACACTACATACTGATATACACCTGAACATCAGCAGGAGAGGACTCTTTAAAGTAGAGACACTACATACTGATATACACCTGAACATCAGCAGGAGAGGACTCTTTAAAGTAGAGTCACTACATACTGATATACACCTGAACATCAGCAGGAGAGGACTCTTTAAAGTAGAGACACTACATACTGATATACACATGAACATCAGCAGGAGAGGACTCTTAAAGTAGAGACCCTACATACTGATATACACCTGAACATCAGCAGGAGAGGACTCTTTAAAGTAGAGACACTACACACTGATATACACCTGGACATCAGCAGGAGAGGACTCTTTAAAGAAGAGACACTACATACTGATACTGTATACACCTGAACATCAGCAGGAGAGGACTCTTTAAAAGTAGAGACACTACACACTGATATACACCTGAACATCAGCAGGAGAGGACTCTTCAAAGTAGAGACACTACATACTGATATACACCTGAAGATCAGCAGGAGAGGACTCTTTAAAGTAGATACACTACATACTGATATACACCTGAACATCAGCAGGAGAGGACTCTTTAAAGTAGAGACACTACATACTGATATACACCTGAACATCAGCAGGAGAGGACTCTTTAAAGTAGAGACACTACATACTGATATACACCTGAACATCAGCAGGAGAGGACTCTTTAAAGTAGATACACTACATACTGATATACACCTGAACATCAGCAGGAGAGGACTCTTTAAAGTAGAGACACTACACACTGATATACACCTGGACATCAGCAGGAGAGGACTCTTTAAAGTAGAGACACTACATACTGATACTGTATACACCTGAACATCAGCAGGAGAGGACTCTTTAAAGTAGAGACGCTACACACTGATATACACCTGGACATCAGCAGGAGAGGACTCTTTAAAGAAGAGACACTACATACTGATACTGTATACACCTGAACATCAGCAGGAGAGGACTCTTTAAAGTAGAGACACTACACACTGATATACACCTGAACATCAGCAGGAGAGGACTCTTTAAAGTAGAGACACTACATACTGATATACACCTGAACATCAGCAGGAGAGGACTCTTTAAAGTAGAGACACTACATACTGATATACACCAGAACATCAGCAGGAGAGGACTCTTTAAAGTAGAGGACACTACACACTGATATACACCTGAACATCAGCAGGAGAGGACTCTTTAAAGTAGAGACACTACATACTGATATACACCTGAACATCAGCAGGAGAGGACTCTTTAAAGTAGAGACACTACATACTGATATACACCTGAACATCAGCAGGAGAGGACTCTTTAAAGTAGAGACACTACATACTGATATACACCTGAACATCAGCAGGAGAGGACTCTTTAAAGTAGAGACCCTACATACTGAATATACACCTGAACATCAGCAGGAGAGGGACTCTTTAAAGTAGAGACACTACACACTGATATACACCTGGACATCAGCAGGAGAGGACTCTTTAAAGAAGAGACACTACATACTGATATACACCTGAACATCAGCAGGAGAGGACTCTTTAAAGTAGAGACACTACATACAGATATACACCTGAACATCAGCAGAGAGGACTCTTTAAAGTAGAGACACTACATACTGATATACACCTGAACATCAGCAGGAGAGGACTCTTTAAAGTAGAGACACTACATACTGATATACACCAGAACATCAGCAGGAGAGGATTCTTTGAAGTAGAGACACTACATACTGATATACACCTGAACATCAGCAGGAGAGGACTCTTTAAAGTAGAGACACTACATACTGATATACACCTGAACATCAGCAGGAGAGGACTCTTTAAAGTAGAGGCACTACATACTGATATACACCTGAACATCAGCAGGAGAGGACTCTTTAAAGTAGAGACACTACATACTGATATACACCTGAACATCAGCAGGACTCTTTAAAGTAGAGACACTACATACTGATATACACCTGAACATCAGCAGGAGAGCACTCTTTAAAGTAGGGACACTACACATACATAGACACAAATATACATATACACACATTTGGAGGTAGAACTAAATATAATATATATATATATAGTCTTCTTATGTTTAGTGTATCAGTTATTTTTAATATAATACATTATGCTTAAGACCTGTTTAATTTGGAATAAAACAAATAAATGATTATTTAATATTCTTTCTTTGCATTTTCGTTACATATTATAAACAGAAAAGCTCTTTTAGGACATGACATGTAAAATAAGAGTCAATATTAGGAATAAAACATCTCCTAATTCCGTCCTTACCCCTTTTTTCCCCAATGTTTACATTTTGCATTTGACCTACATCTGAAGTAAGGGAGCCCTCATGTAGGTTTAAAGCTACATATGGATCTATTTTGTCAGCCGTGTTGACGTAATGAATCCAACCAATCACAGGCCAGAGTCGTGTAGCGTCATCACAGCAGTGTGTTTGTGTCTGGTTTGTGTTAACTGCCCTGTGAAAAGTGTGCTAAAGAGTTAAACTTGAATTAAAATAAGAAATACTTCACCGTCAGCAGGCAAACCCTCTTTTTATTGGACTTTTTTTCTCAAATGTTCTTGTGTTCATTTAAATAACTTCTTCTCTTTGTTATCTTTTGTTTTATTTCATTTACTATTCATTCGTGTGTCAACTGATTAAAACTGCCCGGCTGCGCTGCCACAAAATCAAGCGCAGCCCGCGGACTGATACCGCGGAGGAATACACACGGCGGTGCTTCGGCTCTATATATACTAGCGTGACTCCCTACACCTCGTCCACTCTGTGTTCTCCAGTCTTCGTTCATTCAGGTTCAAATATAAACACCGACTCTCTAAGTTAATTCAGATTTAAATGTGAACACCGACCCTCAGTAAAATCTATCCCCGCTAACATGGCAATTTAACGGCGTGCAGCGGCTCTCCTGCATTGGCAATAACCCGGCTGTGCAAAGGCAAAGTGCACTGGCTATTTCTGGCAACATGGCGTAAGTATTGTTCTTTATATCTTCATTTATATTGGCAGTTGCGGGTGTCAGTATCAAATTACAAACTGTCAGTTGAAGTTAGAACAGTTGCTATTTCTGGCAACATGCCGGATGTATTTCTCTTGTGTTTATTATTATAACTTGGTTTTTACACAACGAGGAATCTGCCTTGGTAAAAACTGTTTAAAGGTGTTAAGAAATGTGTAAAGTTGTTGTGCTTTTATACGTTTTTTGGACAATTTTTAACTAGAATTTCATGTCCTTAGGAAAATATAAATACTGGGGACATTTTGAGAAAGTGACATTTGTGTATAAAATATCTTGCCAATATAATCAAATTATTAATGTTCGTTTTGTTATCCAATTCAATGCCATATCTTATCCTATCATATATTAAGACTGGGATGTTTTGCTCATTATAAGTTAACAAAATACTGGAAAGCATCCCAACATATTTGAAAAGAATAAAATAAATTATAAGAAAATATGTTCTAATGTTTAAATATCCGAATTACAAAAGGAGCATTTGTATTTAAATCTAAATGTAATCATCCGTGGTGTGAGAAACAATGGGGGTAAATAAAAAGCAGAGGTTTCTATCTCTTTGTGATATAATTATTTAAATATTTAGGGGAAATATAAGTATTAATATCGACATTAATGTTGTGAATATTTCCTGTTTTTGGGTGTCAGTGTCAAATTACACAAACTGTCAGTTGGAGTTAGAACGCTCGCGAGACAGGCTTTAACGATCGTCTTGCTATACTTAACTGTCAAACCCCCTATTTTAAAGTCATTTATTCCACATTTAAAACACAGTTTGAGTGATTTTAAACACAAGTAATGTTTGAATAATGAACAAATGACAACGTGGCGTGTCCAAAATGGCGCGCTGTATTTTTTTGTCTTTGCTGCTCTGTTGTGAAAATGGCGGTTACCCTCCCACATCTCGCCGTCACGTATGAGATGGGACTACCGGCCAGAGCATGACCAAATTAGGCAATGTTATCCCCCGGTGGAGGGCGGGGCGTTTCTTCTTTTCTACACAGCTTTGTCACCTCAGAGGAACGGATTAGCCCAACATTAGCCTCCCTTCCCCCACATGCTAACAGCATTAACGAGACCAGAGGAGGGAGAAGTACTCTGATCTGTACTTGAGTAAAAGGAGAAGTACTCAAATCATGTACTTGAGTAAAAGTAGAAGTACTCAGATCTGTACTTGATTAAAAGGAGAAATACTCAAATCATGTACTTGAGTAAAAGTAGAAGTACTCAGATCTTGTACTTGAGTAAAAGAAGTACTCAGATCTTGTACTTGAGTAAAAGTAGAAGTACTCAGATCTTGTACTTTAGTAAAAGTAGAAGTACTCAGATCTTGTACTTGTGTAAAAGTAGAAGTACTCAGATCTTGTACTTGAGTAAAAGTAGAAGTACTCAGGTCTTGTACTTGAGTAAAAGTAGAAGTACTCAGGTCTTGTACTTGAGTAAAAGTAGAAGTACTCAGGTCTTGTACTTGAGTAAAAGTAGAAGTACTCAGATCTGTACTTGAGTAAAAGGAGAAATACTCAAATCATGTACTTGAGTAAAAGTAGAAGTACTCAGACCTTGTACTTGAGTAAAAGTAGAAGTACTCAGACCTTGTACTTGAGTAAAAGTAGAAGTACTCAGATCTTGTACTTGAGTAAAAGTAGAAGTACTCAGATCTTGTACTTGAGTAAAAGAAGAAGTACTCAGATCTTGTACTTGAGTAAAAGAAGAAGTACTCAGATCTTGTACTTGAGTAAAAGTAGAAGTACTCAGATCTTGTACTTGAGTAAAAGAAGAAGTACTCAGGTCTTGTACTTGAGTAAAAGTAGAAGTACTCAGATCTGTACTTGAGTAAAAGTAGAAGTACTCAGATCTGTACTTGAGTAAAAGGAGAAATACTCAAATCATGTACTTGAGTAAAAGTAGAAGTACTCAGACCTTGTACTTGAGTAAAAGTAGAAGTACTCAGATCTTGTACTTGTGTAAAAGTAGAAGTACTCAGATCTTGTACTTGAGTAAAAGAAGAAGTACTCAGGTCTTGTACTTGAGTAAAAGTAGAAGTACTCAGATCTGTACTTGAGTAAAAGGAGAAATACTCAAATCATGTACTTGAGTAAAAGTAGAAGTACTCAGACCTTGTACTTGAGTAAAAGTAGAAGTACTCAGATCTTGTACTTGTGTAAAAGGAGAAGTACTCAGATCTTGTACTTGTGTAAAAGGAGAAGTACTCAGATCTTGTTCTTGAGTAAAAGGAGAAGTACCAGAGTGTACAGTAAAAGTCCTGCATTCAAAATGTTACTCAACTGAAAGTACTAAAGTATTAGCATCAAAATATAGTTAAAGTAGCGACAGTACAAGTATTCATTGTGCAGATGAGATAAATATGATAATCTTTTTAGATAAACAAAAGTCCATAAAGTGCACACTTAATAAAGCTTTATTCATACAGCACGTGCCGCTCAAAGCGCTTTTTTTTTCTTTTAATGTTTATTTTATTAGCTTTTCTTTTAATGACTGATTTTAAATGCCATTTTCTTAATCTCTTTCATTTTTTGTAAAGCACTTTGAATTGCCTTGTGTTGGTGCTATAAAAATAAACTTGCCTTGCCTTTACAAGATGACACATCACAAGTAAAAACACACAAGAAATTCCCCTCAGATTACCTGTTAAGAACTTTAAAAGGTACATGCAGCAAAATATAACATTTGATCAGGTTCATCGACACAAGGAGGTAGAAGGTGTGATAATACAAATAAAATAAATAATAGTTTCTCTCCGACAGATAAGACAGAAGACAAGTGAGTCGATGCAACAATATAAAACAAAGTGAACATATCGGTACAACAGAAATAAATAAAAAAAGATTAAGACCTATAAAATAAATAAAACAAAACAAAGGTAGATAAATAATAAAGACGAAAAGAACATTTAAAGTGTGGGGTTGCTAATCTAAAACGATGTATATAACCCATTTCCCTTTCCCCCAGGTCTCTCTCGGCAATCACCCTCAGCTTTGCTGCCGTCGACAGCAGGCCCGACCGCCTCCACTCGATACCGGACTCCTTTTTATTTCTATTCTCCCTGAAAACCCAGAGCAGCCGCGATGACGCTCTGCCTGGCCTTGGAGGACGTGGAGGCCCTGAACTTAGGTTAGTGTCGTTTCCACAAGGACACTCATTTATACTGAGCCTTTAGTTGGGTAACAAGTGGGAAAGTGTGTTTTATTTACTTGCACTATTTGATCTGTTTTATTGAACAGTATATTGATATATACCAGATGGATGTTCTTAGTTCAGGTGTTTAGCAGTCTTGTAGGATGAAACTGTCCCCGAGTAGTCTCAAAGTTGTAATGGTAAAACTCCAGCTGAGCACCAGGCAGCATGTGCTCGACAAACTAAATCAATATATTGTTTCAGGAAGTAAGATGTTAACGGCCCCTCGTCTACAGGGCCCTCCTTTCTGACGGCTGACCCCATGGGGCCCCTTCTGGACCATGAAGACGAAGAAGCTCTCTCTCCCTCCTGCTATCTAGAGGGGAAGGCTCCAGCTTCGCCCCCCCTCTCTTTCTCTTCCTCCCCTCCCCCCTCCCACGCCTCTCTGTTCCTGGGTACCAAAGCCTCCGAGGACCCCCTCGCCTGGCTGCTCCACGCCCCGACAGGAGCAGAGCACTGCAGCGGTGAGAGACCATTTATCTGTGTATTTAGAGTAAATACGCTTCAAGGTTTCCCCGGATACTCAAAGTCTTCTTAGTTGGTGTTAAAATGACAATCAATATTTAAGAAGTGTTTAAAAGTAGGGCTGTGCATCTTCACTGGTCTCACGCTTCGGTTCGATATCCTGATGCATCACAATGCGTTGCATCCTCAATTCTCTATATTACTGCACATGGCTTCTGTTTCATCAATGAATACATGCAGTCAATTATTTAGAAAGGCGTCAGAGATCAATAACATAAATGTCTTGACATTAAATTATAAACCAAAATAAACCAATTGTGTCGGTCTAGCCTCCCTATACCGTATCTGTGTGTGAAATTGTTCCATCCTCAAAAACTAATGCTCCTGCGGTCGAGATGCATCTTCTAGCAACGCTCTTCTGTTAACCAGTTAAGCCCTGAGCCTGTTTTTCAGGTTTCAGCCTCGAAAATGCCACTAACACAACAAATGATATATCTTCACTTCTAAAAGGGGTAAATTAATAATTATTTTTCTCAAAGCAAGGTTACATCTGTGAGTTGGATGTAGAAGTGTCAGAATCAATATAGATGTTTTTATTTTAAAGTAAATTCAGATGGAACATAGTAAAAACATGTAAATTCTATTGTCCAACTAAAAAAAAAACCTTTACTTGTAGTGAAAACCACCCTTGCATGATGGGTTAGTAGACTAAAAGCTTTAGGAATCCAAACTATAACATATAATAAGTACCCTGTATCAAGATTGATGCAAAACAAGTGAAATTTGAGAAAAAAACCTTTTTAGAGAGATTTAGAAAAATAAAGTCTAAGCGGACTCACCTCTGGGTAATTTGGGAACCAACAGTTCCATTTGAACTTTTTCACTGTAAAAATCATTTTATTACTTTGAATTATCACTATAGGTATTCATTCCATCCAAATACAACTGTTGTGAAAAAAAATTAAATAAAACATAGGCTTACTCTTACAGTGAGCCTCTGAATTAGCCCCGAGCGAAAAATGCTAACCTATTACTGCACCGAAAATCACTCCTCGCTCCCTTATTACTTATCCTAGCTGCACATCCAACACATTGTTTATGATCGCAAGGAGACACAGAATCTAACGGTGCCCACCTGAACAGCCAACACTGAAAGATACAAACTTGCGACGTTATCAACAAAAACGTACATCAAAACAAATGGCGCTAGCGCTAATGCGCTAGGCTAACAATGACTTACCTTCCTCGTTGTCTGGTCTAAACTGGTCTTCAATGGCATTAAAACGATAAAAACGATGATGTAGTTAATCCATAGATTAATATCCAATGGGGCTGTGTCCCCTTTGAAATGTTCTGATAATCTATAAGCAATAAAACTGCAATTCCGTTATCTGCTGTCCGCTCTGCGCTCCGTGCGCTCTGGGTCCTGCTGCATTTCCTGCTTCGTTACGTTGTAAACAATAAATGAAGTCGGCTGCGTAATGTACTTAAGTTGGCTGCCATTCTTTATAATTTGCGCAGGACCATATCTCTGGAACCCATTGGTCGATTCGTGTGATTTACACCTTTTTCTTAACCATCAGAACCAATAGAATCGATGGGCAGTTCCCAAATCTACGTAAACATTACCATAGCGGACGTAATAGAGAAGCAAACGAAGCATATCTGAAAGTGCAAGCCTGGACGGCAATACTTTATACCGAGTATATTGCCATAAATATGATGATTGATTATCAGTAAAACATTCTACGTGACACAAAGACATTGGATTAACCTTGAGATGCGTTTTTATTCCGTTGAACACAACTTTTGATCACAAATCAAAAAAGGTAAGACGTAATTATTGTAATATTTTTGAAACCGGATGTTGTTTACTTTCTCTTTTCTGGCTGATAGCTCCAGGAATTCAAGGTCGGACAGTGATGACATTACATGTGTGGAATCTGTGGAGTCTCAGCTTTAAATCGTATATCTTGTTTGTGCAGTTAAGATAGTAATAAGGGCATTTCTACCGTGTGTTGTGTGTAAAAAAGCGTTAGCATTAGTTAGCATTTTTTCGCTCAATGCTAATTCAAAGGCTTGGTATTACTCTTGTGTTTTTTTTAGCTAACAATTGTTCTTATTGTCAGTTCGCGGAGTTTCTTACCTTTAAAAGGGTATGACACATTAATAGTTTCAGAAATGTTAAGAAGCCCTGAGACATGTGAGAAAAAAAAAACTGTGGGAGGGGTCCACTGGGGGGACCTTCGGGCTTAACTGGTTAAAGAAAGGACACTGAATGTCCTGAATGTGGCATCACTAACATGACTTGAGTCTGAACACAGCAGACAACAGGAGTGTTTACAACAGCATATCAAAACTAGGGGGCGGGGTTTGGAGCACTAGAGAGGAGACGGTGATCGCGGAAGCTTTCCTCCTGCCTTCACAAACTGTACACACGTATATATCGTCTGAAAATAGCAAGAGGACGTTCACTCTGCAATCCAAGACTTGATTAAATCCACCAAAAACCTGACATGACGACAAAAACATAACTCGATGTGTCTGAGCCGCAGCGACACGGGCTGATTCAGAGCGGGTCATTCTGCTGTTGTTGCTGGAGAACGCAGACTGCTCCGTGTTTGGAGCCGCTGTCACGTCCGTTCCCTGATCTCTGCGTCACCGACCGGTTTGATGGGAAAAAGAAAAAAAAAAAACGTTATTGTCTAGCCGGAAGATCAGGAAGCAACGTGACTACGCTATAATCGATTATGTTCTGTCTCTGCATCGATGCAGAATCGTCCGCATCGTAGAAACGATTCATTTCAACACCTCTGTTTAAAAGGCAGAATACTCCATTTATTCTAGTGGGGAATTGGGTTCTTTATATAAAGACAATATTGAAATAACATGTTTAACTAAAACTGGAATAAAAGAGATCTCACAATATGGCATCCAGACAGCTATAAAGTGTCTTGTATTAAATTAGGAAAAGTCTTAAACCTTCCTTGCGTTGTTGGAGACCTAAATCCTACCAAAGGCACCAGAGGATTGGTAGCACTGAAGCCCGTCAACAGAGACTGATGGGTCATCATTACCTGGAAGCTGATTTGAAAGTAAGGTTAGAAACTCCTTCAGTGAGCGGTGAGAGGAGACTGGTGAATGCTTTACGGCTGTTTGGTGTCAGTGGATCTCCTGAAGCTTTGACGTGTCTCCAGATGGTGAAGCTAATTGCTCTCAAGGTCACTGTCCCTCTATTTAGGGTCATTCCTCCTTCTGAGCTGAAGTCCTTTGAAGGTCGTGGTACGAAAAACGAGTTGCATGACAATCAAGGACCGGCCGCGGTATGCGTGGGTGTGTTCGGTTGTGAAAAACAGTCATGGTTTAGGGTGTGTGTGTGTCTCCCTGTGGGTTGTGTGTGTGGTCTCTCTCTCTCTCTCATCCTCTCTCACTCTCGGTCTCATCGTCTATCTACTCATCCCTTCTCCTATCTCTGCCTCCTCTCTCCTCATCTCTCTCTGTGTTTGTGTCTCTCTCTCTCTCTCTCTCTCTCTCTCTCTGTGTGTGTGTCTCTCTGTGTTTGTGTGTGTGTCTCTCTCTCTCTGTGTGTGTGTCTCTCTGTGTTTGTGTGTCTCTCTCTCTCTCTCTCTCTCTCTCTCTCTGTGTGTGTGTCTCTCTCTCTCTCTCTCTCTCTCTCTCTCTCTCTCTCTCTCTCTCTGTGTGTGTCAAACTGGTTTAGTTAAAAGTGGCGTTTCTCAGTGACGTGTTCTTTGTTGTAATGATTGTGGTTCTTGGCGTCTGTTAAAGCCAACGGCTGTGAGACTCACGTTTTAATTAACGTTTGAGGTCATTATTGAACGTCAAACAGATTCCAGCATTTCAGTGATCAATCAAAGACGCCGGTCAAATCAGTTTGTTATTTGATAGATTGGTTTGTACAGCTTTTCTGCGGGTCATTCCTAAAAGGGTTTGAATAGTCTTAAACGTCGGCTAACACGATGGTCATGTGGTTCTGTGTATATAAACTAAAGGACTCTCCTCTCTCGGCAGATGATGCGTTCGCTGGCATGGACTGGATGTCGGAGAAAATCGACCTGAGTGAGTTGGACCTGGAGTCTCTGATTGGCTCTGACGACTCCCGCGAGGAGCTGCTGGCCTCCCTGGACCCCCACATGGACCTGGACGCCTTCCACTCCTCCCTCCCTCTGCCCTTGGACCCCCACCTGGACGCCTTCCACTCCTCCCGCCCTCTGCCCCTGGACCCCCACCTGGACGTCTTCCACTCCTCCCTCCCTCTGCCCCTGGACCCCCACCTGGACGTCTTCCACTCCTCCCTCCCTCTGCCCCTGGACCCCCACGCCTTCCACTCCTCCCTCCCTCTGCCTCTGGACCCCCACCTGGACGCCTTCCACTCCTCCCTCCCTCTGCCTCTGGACCCCCACCTGGAGGAGGAGGTGGTGCTGAAGTCCGAGCCCCCCTCCCCTGCTTTCACCCTGGACCTGGGGAGTGAAGAGGACGTCCTGGATGTCCTCTCCTCCCCCGTTGTACTCCCCTCTCCTCCCTCCTCAGGCCACATGTTGGTAGTGAACGCTCTCTCCGATCAGCCAATCAAAACCTCTCCTCCATCCAGCGACTGTGAGAGCGACTCAGGCATCGAGTCCTTCACCGACTCCCCCCCTCGCCTCCTTTCTTCTCCTCCAACTCCAACGCTTCCCTCTTCCTCCAGGACCAAGCCGTACTCTAAAAAACCAGAACCTTCCTCCTCTTCCTCCTCCTCCATCTCCATCAAAATGAAGTCGGTGTCCGGCGCTCCCAAGGTGGTGGAGAAGAAGCTGAAGAAGATGGAGCAGAACAAGACGGCGGCCACTCGTTACCGGCAGAAGAAGCGGGTGGAGCAGGACCTTGTGAGCGAGGAGTGCGAGGAGCTGATGAAGAAGAACGAAGCTCTGGAGGAGAGAGCGGAGGCCATCAGCCGGGAGATCAGGTACCTGACGGAGCTGATGGAGGAGGTCCGGCGGCGCCGCAACAAGAGCAAGGCTCTGTGAAGAGCGGCCGGGGGGGTTTATAGCCATCGCTACAACCAAAGGGTTCCTCAGGAGATACAGTCGGGGGAAGGTCCCTCAGCTCCCACAATGCACCTCTGCACTAACCGTTTGCCGTTCCCTCGCTTCAGTGAACCCCCTTCTCAAGAGCTTCAAGTCCAGAAAGGGCCTCGACACCTCCACCAGTCCCTGATGTTAAACTGCGTGCGTGTGTGTGTGTGTATATAGTGTTTCCTCCTGTGCTGCAGATATAGAAGCTCCTGTTATTGATCGCAGGGTAATCCTGATCGTGCTGCTGATCGCCTTGTAAAAATGCTTTGCTCCTCTTTTCTAATAAATATCTTTCAGTGCTCAGCGACGTGTCGGTGCTTTACTGATTCCTGCTGCACACACTAAGAGGAAGACGGGCTGTGTTTGGTATGAAACGAGTCTTACATGTTATCCTCGATGCTAAGACGTGCAAAGGAAAACATTTATCAATCCTTTTTAGGATGTACAGTCGCTTAAAACAAACTACCCTCTTCATTGACCTCTCGCATTAAAAGCAGAGAAGAACCAGAAATAATGTGTTGTTTAAATGACGTTTCCGTCAGCAGGAGCCTGGGGTATCGAACCGAAAAGCATCCTTACGTTTGAGAAGCTGGAACCGAAGCATTGATGAAAAGACAGAATATAAGAAGTATAACTTATAAACTTAAAGTGAATCAATGTGTAAACATGTTGGACCATGAAAGTGTTATCATTTGATGCTGATATGAGAAACGCAGTCAAACAAGCGTTTCTGAGTGAGTATAGTCATTTAAATATGTACACGTGTTCTCTGGACGCCATTTGAATGTGTAAATAAATACATGGGGAATATGAAGAGTGAGGCAGATCCTGATGGGCCGGTTCCAGTGTTTGTTCCTGCAGAGAGAACACACACTTCCTGTTGGCTGTGTGTGTTCGGAGAGAAAGGTGTGTACAGAGTTACACTCAGAAGATGAGACATGCTGTAGTTTCCTAAAGAACAGTGTGAACATTTAAAGGCAACACGTTTACGAATGAATTTTTAAGTAGAAATGCAAAATATGATGGCATTTAAAAACAGGCATTAAAGAGACAGTAAATAACAACACGCTCTAACAGAATAAGACCGGTTTGAAACATAAGAATGAAAGCAAGTCTTCAGGAACACAATATAACTTTAATAATATACACACGTCTTGAATAATGATGGTAACACAACGATGTAATGTTCTATAGCATTGATCCACAAACGGCATCACGGATAGTTATTATTAAACAAGACAGATGTGTTCATGCATGTTCTTTGTGTCGCTTTGAATATTGAATGTTTAAAAGTGATTCTAGGACTTCTCTTCATTCATAATATATAGATATATAATACAAAGTAAATGTGGTTTTCAAAAGTCCTAAAAAGTTCTGTGAGTGTTCAAACTCTCTTACGTTAAGCTGGCAGACAAGTTCAAACTGGAACACTTTCAAGTGTGTGTGTGTGTGTGTGTAAAAAGTGCAGTCTCACTTCTCCGCCTGCAATCCTAAGTGTCAGGAAACGAGAGCGAGAGAAACATCTGGAGAGAAGAGTTTACGAGAAGCTCAGAAACTGTGAAACCAGACAGACATGTTTCACAGACCTGTGTGTGTGTGTGTGTGTGTGTGTGTGTGTGTGTGTGTGTGTGTGTGTGTGTGTGTGTGTGTGTGTGTGTGTGTGTGTGTGTGTGTGTCCAGTGATGCATCCTGAGACTGAAAACAACTTGCTGTAGTTTCTCGTGAGACTCACACTTGTGTGTCAGAGAGCTATGTAAATTTAGTCTGCAGTAAAACACACACACACCCCGCCCGCCCACCCACACACACACACACACACACACACACACACACACACACACACACACACACAGTAGTGAGGCCTCGCCTTCCTGAGAAAGAGATAAAGACGACCGCTTTATTATGACCTACTAAAGAGTTGTTTAAAGGACGCCTATTGTTTGAATCCCTGTGTTCCTCTCACACCTGCTTCACTTCCTGCTTCACTTCCTGCTTCACTTCCTGTTGCATTCCGCTAAAGGAGTGTCTCCTGAGTGAGAAGTGTCTCAGCCGAGTATTTCTCAAATATCGTTGCAACTTTTTTTGTGCAATGGCTTCAAATGTGCTTCACACACCCTGAGAAAGTTGAGAAGTGTGTGTGTGCTATAGAGTGTGTGTGTGTGTGTAGTAAAGTGTGTGTGCTTCTCGGCATGCTGGTGCAGATCCTGGGTGTGTCGGCTTGAAGCAGAGAAATTATTCCTATCTCGTCACATTCCTTCTTTTAATCAGAAGCACGTCGGTTCGTTTATTTTCAGACACAGAAAATATGTTTCTGCACTTGATTAGGTTTCATTATATCAGTAGCGTCTCTACTTTAAAGAGTCCTCTCCTGCTGATGTTCAGGTGTATATCAGTATGTAGTGTCTCTACTTTAAAGAGTCCTCTCCTGCTGATGTTCAGGTGTATATCAGTATGTAGTGTCTCTACTTTAAAGAGTCCTCTCCTGCTGATGTTCAGGTGTATATCAGTATGTAGTGTCTCTACTTTAAAGAGTCCTCTCCTGCTGATGTTCAGGTGTATATCAGTATGTAGTGTCTCTACTTTAAAGAGTCCTCTCCTGCTGATGTTCAGGTGTATATCAGTATGTAGTGTCTCTACTTTAAAGAGTCCTCCTGCTGATGTTCAGGTGTATATCAGTATGTAGTGTCTCTACTTTAAAGAGTCCTCTCCTGCTGATGTTCAGGTGTATATCAGTATGTAGTGTCTCTACTTTAAAGAGTCCTCTCCTGCTGATGTTCAGGTGTATATCAGTATGTAGTGTCTCTACTTTAAAGAGTTCCTCTCCTGCTGATGTTCAGGTGTATATCAGTATGTAGTGTCTCTACTTTAAAGAGTTCCTCTCCTGCTGATGTTCAGGTGTATATCAGTATGTAGTGTCTCTACTTTAAAGAGTTCCTCTCCTGCTGATGTTCAGGTGTATATCAGTATGTAGTGTCTCTACTTTAAAGAGTTCCTCTCCTGCTGATGTTCAGGTATATATCAGTATGTATTGTCTCTACTTTAAAGAGTTCTTCTCCTGCTGATGTTCAGGTGTATATCAGTATGTATTGTCTCTACTTTAAAGAGTTCCTCTCCTGCTGATGTTCAGGTATATATCAGTATGTAGTTTCTCTACTTTAAAGAGTCCTCTCTTGCTGATGTTCAGGTGCATATCAGTATGTAGTGTCTCCACTTTAAAGAGTCCTCTCCTGCTGATGTTCAGGTGTATATCAGTATGTAGTGTCTCTACTTTAAAGAGTCTTCTCCTGCTGATGTTCAGGTGTATATCAGTATGTAGTGTCTCTACTTTAAAGAGTTCCTCTCCTGCTGATGTTCAGGTATATATCAGTATGTAGTGTCTCTACTTTAAAGAGTTCCTCTCCTGCTGATGTTCAGGTATATATCAGTATGTAGTGTCTCTACTTTAAAGAGTCCTCTCCTGCTGATGTTCAGGTGTATATCAGTGTAGTGTCTCTACTTTAAAGAGTCCTCTCCTGCTGATGTTCAGGTGTATATCAGTATGTAGTGTCTCTACTTTAAAGAGTGCTCTCCTGCTGATGTTCAGGTGTATATCAGTATGTAGTGTCTCTACTTTAAAGAGTCCTCTCCTGCTGATGTTCAGGTGTATATCAGTATGTAGTGTCTCTACTTTAAGAGTTCCTCTCCTGCTGATGTTCAGGTGTATATCAGTATGTAGTGTCTCTACTTTAAAGAGTCCTCTCCTGCTGATGTTCAGGTGTATATCAGTATGTAGTGTCTCTACTTTAAAGAGTTCCTCTCTGCTGATGTTCAGGGTATATATCAGTATGTAGTGTCTCTACTTTAAAGAGTCCTCTCCTGCTGATGTTCAGGTGTATATCAGTATGTAGTGTCTCTACTTTAAAGAGTGCTCTCCTGCTGATGTTCAGGTGTATATCAGTATGTAGTGTCTCTACTTTAAAGAGTCCTCTCCTGCTGATGTTCAGGTGTATATCAGTATGTAGTGTCTCTACTTTAAAGAGTTCTCTCCTGCTGATGTTCAGGTGTATATCAGTATTTAGTTGTCTCTACTTTAAAGAGTCCTCTCCTGCTGATGTTCAGGTGTATATCAGTATGTAGTGTCTCTACTTTAAAGAGTCCTCTCCTGCCTGATGTTCAGGTGTATATCAGTATGTAGTGTCTCTACTTTAAAGAGTCCTCTCCTGCTGATGTCCAGGTGTATATCAGTAGTGTCTCTACTTTAAAGAGTCCTCTCCTGCTGATGTTCAGGTGTATATCAGTATGTAGTGTCTCTACTTTAAAGAGTCCTCTCCTGCTGATATTCAGGTGTATATCAGTATGTAGTGTCTCTACTTTAAAGAGTCCTCTCCTGCTGATGTTTCAGGTGTATATCAGTATGTAGTGTCTCTACTTTAAAGAGTCCTCTCCTGCTGATGTTCAGGTGTATATCAGTATGTAGTGTCTCTACTTTAAAGAGTCCTCTCCTGCTGATGTTCAGGTGTATATCAGTATGTAGTGTCTCTACTTTAAAGAGTCCTCTCCTGCTGATGTTCAGGTGTATATCAGTATGTAGTGTCTCTACTTTAAAGAGTCCTCTCCTGCTGATGTTCAGGTGTATATCAGTATGTAGTGTCTCTACTTTAAAGAGTCCTCTCCTGCTGATGTTCAGGCGTATATCAGTATGTAGTGTCTCTACTTTAAAGAGTCCTCTCCTGCTGATGTTCAGGTGTATATCAGTATGTAGTGTCTCTACTTTAAAGAGTCCTCTCCTGCTGATGTTCAGGTGTATATCAGTATGTAGTGTCTCTACTTTAAAGAGTCCTCTCCTGCTGATGTTCAGGTGTATATCAGTATGTAGTGTCTCTACTTTAAAGAGTCCTCTCCTGCTGATGTTCAGGTGTATATCAGTATGTAGTGTCTCTACTTTAAAGAGTCCTCTCCTGCTGATGTTCAGGTGTATATCAGTATGTAGTGTCTCTACTTTAAGAGTCCTCTCCTGCTGATGTTCAGGTGTATATCAGTATGTAGTGTCTCTACTTTAAAGAGTCCTCTCCTGCTGATGTTCAGGTGTATATTAGTATGTAGTGTCTCTACTTTAAAGAGTCCTCTCCTGCTGATGTTCAGGTGTATATCAGTATGTAGTGTCTCTACTTTAAAGAGTCCTCTCCTGCTGATGTTCAGGTGTATATCAGTATGTAGTGTCTCTACTTTAAAGAGTCCTCTCCTGCTGATGTCCAGGTGTATATCAGTAGTGTCTCTACTTTAAAGAGTCCTCTCCTGCTGATGTTCAGGTGTATATCAGTATG